CCCGCCGCTGACCGCTTCCGCCCCTGCCGTGGGGCTGACTTCTGTCTCACCATTGCGAGCCACCAGGCGGTGGGGGGTGGGGGGCGGGGCAGTGGACGAGGCTGCCGGGCTGGCCCCCCCAGCGCGCCCAGCCCCGCCACCGGGGTCCTTGGGCGAGTGGCCCAGGGCCTCGGCCACGTTCTTCAGGGCCGCAATCGGGGAGGGCACGCCGGGGGTCTCGGCCGAGTAGGGCCCCCCGGGTGCCACCCAGTGGCGCTGCTGCTGTTCCTCCGTGGTCATCTTCCCTGCCGCCTCGCCCTCGGGCTCTGGGGAGGCTTTGCGGCGGCGCGGGGTGGGGGCCAGGTTCCTGGATGGCGCTCGCGGGGGTGGGCCGCACAGGGCGGCGGGGGCCGGCTCCGGGTACTGCTGGGGCAAGGCCTCGGCCGGCGCGGGCTCGCGGAAGCTGCGGACCCCATCGGTGAGCAGCTCGCCCAGCTGGCGCCACTCGCCCGAGCCGTGGCGGCGCTCATACTCGAGGTACTTGAAGCCCGAGGAGGCCAGGGCCTTGCCGGGCTCCCGCAGGGCGTCGTGGAACATCTGGCGGGCCACGGCCAGGACGCCCGCGTACACGTTGCCGGAGCCGCACGGGTACTCGGTGAAGAGCTTCAGCTCGAACTCGTAGCCCGGCGGGCGGGCGGTGGCGTCGAAGGCGAAGACCCGGCCCACCAGCCCGTGATCCTTCTTGAAGCGCACGTTGAAGGGGGCACAGGCGGACAGGGCCAGCAGCTGCTCCCGCACCGCCTTGGGGCGCCCGTGCCACTCCTCGGCCCGGCCCCGCATGGCCTCATTCAGTTCGGCCAGGCAGTCCGCATTCCTCTGTTGCTTCTCCTTCTCGAAATCGGAGCCAAAGACTGGACGGGCAGGGCTTAGGCCGGGCGCGAGGGTCAGGCCTCGGCTCCCCAGGCCCGACACCGCAGCTGCCAGCAGCCCGGGGGGGACCAGGCCGGGCATGGAGCCAAGCAGGGCCCTGCGCGCCCCCTCGGCCACCACGTCCTCACGGCCCAGCCCATTGGCCAGGCGGGAGCCCAGCGTGTACTCCAGGGCGGGCGAGGGCAGGGGGAGGCGGCCCGAGGAGGTGGCCCTGTCATAGCGGTCCTGGCTCGAGACGCCGCCGCCCGTCCCTGAGGGCTGGGGCTGGGCCTGCGGGGGCGGCAGCTGGGGCCCCTGCGCGGCGGCCGTGGCCAGGTCCTTGGTGGCCGGGTGCTTGAGGGCCGGGGGCCCCGGGGAGCGACCCTCGGGGAGCACGTGGCTGCGCTTGAGCTGGCGAGCGGCGTCGATGAGCAGCTCGATGCGATCGGCGCCCTCGAAATTCACGCAGCCGCGGCACACGGCCTCGCTGAAGTCCCACACCATGGCCCACGGCATCTTGGGCAGGTCGCACAGGTAGCACCACTGGCGGCGGGAGGCCTGCACCGACGCCATGGTGCCCGCGCGCGCGCCCCCGGGCCCCCGGGCCCCACCCGCCGCCGCCGCCGCCGCCGCCGGGAGATCCGCAGCGCCGCCGCCTCTCGATCCGTGTCCCCCGGCCCGCGCGAGCCACGGTCGGGCCTCGGGCTCGGCCTCCCCGCCGGATCCAGGCCCGGCCCCCCTTCCCCGCCCCCTGGGCCCTAAGCCTTTTTCCTTACTCCCGCCTCCTGGAAAAAAAGCTGGCAGCGGCACGTCGGCGCCACCGCCCGGGCCGGGCTCCGGGCCGAGGCGCGCAGCTCCGGCGCCGCGATGGGCCGCGGGCACCCGCCGCCTCCGCTCCCGCCGCCGCTGCCGCCGCTCCCGCCGCCGCCGCCGCCGCCGCCGCTGCAACGGCCGCCGCCGCCGCCTCCACCTCTTTCTGCCCCAGAGGCCGCTTCGCAGGGAAAGTTACATAACACGCGGCAAAGCCTTCTGGGAAACGTAGTCCCGCCGGGGCTGCTTCTTAAAGGGGCCGGGCCGCCGCCGCCGCCGCCGCCGGCGGGGCGGTTCGCCGCCTGGGCGCCACGCACCTCTTACCGCTCCACGCCACCGGGCGCGCGTCGAGGGGCTCCGGCGCGTTGAGAGTTGGAGGACCGGAGACGAAGAGCTCGAACGGCTCGAGCTCCCGCGGGATCACAAGTGGGTACGGAAACGGACTGGCTCCTGAGCGTCCACTTTCTGCTGTGCAGCTCCGGACACGAGGCCAGCCGTCTCTGAGGCTTCGTTCCCCGCCCATCCGAGGTGGGCTAATGTTCGGTTAGCGAGGCCGCCGCTGCTGGGCGGCCCCTGATTGGAGGACTTCGAGATGGGACAACGGTCAGCTCCGTTCGGGCGCTAGGGGGTCCGCTGATCGCCTCTTCCCCCTGACCCCCCTGTTTGCAGCTTCTGATTGCAGCCGGTCACAGCGGGAGAGCGGAGAGGACCGAGGCGTCCGGACCTGGCCCCTGCCTCCGCTGCCTCTGGCTGAGGTGGTCGAGTGCCAGCCAACTGGGTTCCCGGTCTGCCGGCGCACCCCGGGCTCCAAAGGGTTACAACGCCGGCTCTCTCCGGCGCCCCCTCTTCCCGGGCACTACATTTCCCAAGATGCTCTGCGGGCAGGACTAGATGACGCACTTCCGCCGCCGGGGGGAGGTTGGGGAGGCCTTCCCGATTTCCGCTGTCTTGTTCAACCATCCACCCCCAAATTTTGGAGGGTCTCTCCGTGCTTTCGGTGCACGGAAATGGAGGGAGAGGGAAACGTCCTCCCCCTCTACGCCGCCCGTTTGGTGTTGGGAGAACAGAGATGAGAAGGACGGGTGGGGGGTCGTTTCCGGGGAGGTTAAGTGACAGAGCACCCTGCAACCTTGAGTCTTGACCACCTGATAAGCCCAGTTGGGCTTGAGAGCACCCCGCACCCCCGGCCCGCCACCTAGGTTTTTTTGTTTTGTTTCGCTTTGGGAGCACATCCATCGGTGCTCAAGGCTTACATCTGGCTCTGCACTCCAGGAACACTCCTGGTGGGTTCAGGGGACCTTATGGGATGCTGGGCTTCCAAGCCCCGTGAGCCAGGTGCAAGGCAAACGCCCTTTCTGCTGCCCTGTCACTCCCGCCCCAGCTCCCCCAGCTTTTATTCTCCCTGGCGGTGCCTGTAGCAGTGCAAGCCTAATGTGGGGGTGTGGGGCAAGTGGACGGAGCTGCATGGGCTTTAGACTGCTCACCCACATCAGCCTTTTCCTACGGTTGGGTGGCCATGAATTGCTCACAGCTACTTGAATGGAGGTGCTAGTATTGCAATGATTAGCGTTTTGCAAACGAATCGGGGCCTACCTGACTCCACTACCCCCACTACTGTCAGCTTCATTACCCCCATTTCAATCTCAACTCTGCGATTTTACTTGGCCCTCTGTGTATGTGGGGGTTTTGTGGTGCTGAGGAGTGCACGCGTGCCCTCACATGCTGACCGGTGTTGAGCCACACCCCAGACCCTGTACATCTTCAATTTGGACTACCATGCCAGTGTGCATCCTTTTCCCCTAATTGTGCAATACTGCACGAAGAGTTAAGGATTTTATGAACCAGTCACACTAGGGGGAATGTGTAACTACATATTGAACCATTAAGTGCAGATCGCTTCCATACAATTGCCTTTGGGCCTCTTTTAGAGGCGCAGATGAGAGTTCAGAGTGTTTGCCAGAAGCCGGGCTCTGGTGAACTAGTCCAGCAAGTTTAAAGTGATTCCAGAAGCTTCAGGGAGAGGCACGAGAACTTGAGACCCTCTAGGCCAGGGAAATGGCACCACATACAAAATGACCAGGATAGCAAGTAAACCTAACGGCCAGGGAGATGGTTTAAGAGGCTGGAGTGTGTGCTGAAATTTCCTGAGCACCACTGGATTTGGCCTCTGGAAAGAAATCAAGGGGGACTTGAGATACAATTCAGGGGGAGGGTACTTGTCTTGCATATATGAGGTCCTGGGTTCTATCCCCGATACCACCCAAAGAAAGGAATGAAAACGAGAACCCCAGGGTGTCTTCCCCAGCCACCTTGAGGTAAGATTCAAACACCAGTATAAAACACTTAACCATGCTGTGTGGGCAGGAGGCATGGGACTACGTTCCCTGGCAATCCATGGTGATAATTTGAAGTTGTCCCTCTCCTTTGTGGGGCACAATTGTGTTTCCTAACTTCAAGAGGACGTGAGGAGAGGTTGTGTTACTGAGCTGAGACCTGAAGGTTGATTAGAATCTTTCCAGGAAGTGGTAAACGCACCTGGATCTTTGTGCCTATTTTACAGATGAGGAAAAGGGAGACACAGTAGGAACACACTATGGCTGTTGTTAGTTTCACTGTGCCATGCTTTGCAGGCTGGGCTTCAGAGAGAAGTGGCTCCCAGCACTACTGAAAAGCAGGGGCAGCTGGTGAAGGGCACTTATTTCCTCCTTTAGAGACACTATGACGGGGGCTACTGGGAACCCAGGAGGGGAGTCAGGGTGGGGCACTGGAGAGATTGTGGGGGGATCCAGGTCTGTCCCACACTGCGCCCCAAGCAATTGTATGAAAAATAAGTTTATTGATATCACCATTGGGGAGCCCTGGGAGGCTGAGGGCGCCCCTGGACGCCAGTGAGAGTTGCTTCTCTCCCAGAGGCACCCCTCTGCCCCGTTCTTATCTCCTGAGTCCTGATTTGTCTCCCCAAGTCCAGGTGGGGCACCCCCCCCATTCCCTCCCCGGGGTCGATTCTCTTCAAGTCAAGGCCAGGAGCTTTTGGGGGAAGGGAGGTGTGCAGACCCGAGAGGGGTCCCCTGTGCAACCCGCAAAGGGCGATAATAAATACATCAAATTGATGGCTTCGAAGTCGGGGTGGGGTTAGCAGCCAGGCGAACAGCGCTGTACTGGAGAGGCAGTGTGGGGGGGGAACTCTTGGACCGCCCCCCCACCGAGAATCAGGCACTAACTAGTACAGGGGCAGGGCGGTGCTCGAGCCCCTGCGCAGGGAGCCGGGGGTGCAGCCAGGGGGGGCTCCTCCGCCGGGCAAGCTGGGGGGAGAAGGCGAAGGCTGGAGTGCAGAGAAGCTGAGCCCGGGCCCGGGGGCTGGTTTCAGGGCGCTTTCCACCGCCCTCGCCGCTTGCGCGTGGGGAACCCTTTCCTCCTCTTGTGGGGGGGCGAGTCGGGGGGCGGCAGCGGGGCCAGGGGGGGCCGGGCCCCGCCCTCCTCGCTCCTCGGGGAGACGATCACCCCTCTGGCGGCCACCACGGCCCCATCCACGACAGCGGCCACCACGGACACGGGCTCGGGCGTCATCTCCACCTTGGGGACGGGCGCGGGAGGGGGCGGCCGGGGGGGCGGTGGCGGCGGCGGCGGGGGCGGAGGGTCGCCGGGGGCCCCGGGCAGCAGCGGCAGCAGCGCGCTCAGGGCCTCGCTCAGCTTGGCCAGGCCCTGGCGCAGGGTGCCCGCCAGCTCGCGGATGGCATCGGCCGTCTCCTGCTGCGCGCGCAGCAAGTCCAGCGCGGGGTCGGGGGCCGACGGGGCAGCCGGCGGCGGGGGGCTGGGGGCCGGCAGGCCTGCGGTGGGGGGGCCCTGCGTGGGGGCTGGGGGCGGGGTCTCGCGCTCTTTGACCGGTAAGCAGACCCCCTCGTGGGGCCTGGCTGCAGGGCGAACCCAGGGATCTGGGCTCCTGGAGCCCCCCTTGCTGTGGGCTGGTGTATCTGTACAGGAGAGAAGAGGGGACAGGGTGAGTGACCCCACGACTGTCCATTTTACCCAGAGCAACATACCCAGCGGGGGGAAGGGGGGAACCCCAAAGCGTCCGTGCCTAACTAGGATCTGATCCATGGCTGGGATGTCAGAATGGTACCCAGGGAACAGCCAACTCAGCACTCACGGGTCTGGGAAAGGCTGGGAGCAACCAGGGTCCCAGAAGTGTGTTTGTGTGTGTGTGTGGGGGGTGCAGGCAGCTGTCCTCATTCATACCTAGAGGCAATATTCTAGAAGGCTCTGGACCAGAGAGATCGTATAGTGGTGAGTAGGGTGTTTGCTTTGCAAAGGCCACACCAGGAGTGATCCCTGGGTGCTGAGGCAGAAGTCACCCCAGAGCCTCTCCAGGGGTGGTCCCAAACGAAAACAAACAGCCTCCCCCCCAAAAAAACTCTAGGAAGCTCTGAAGTGCCAGGGAATCCCCCTTCCTTCTGGGGTCTTGGTGGGGAGAGTCAGAGGGACTCGGGAGAGGCAGGTGGCTAGGAAGCTGGGAACAGGGGCGCTCCCTGGGGTTTCCCGTCTCTTCAGGCATGAGCACTTCTTAGGCTTTGTTTGGGGGAGAAAACTTGGGTGAGATCTAAACCAGGAGGAAAATCTGTAAGCCCAGGGCCCAGATGTTGGGGGCAGCCTGAATCTCGGACCAAGCTGTGGTCAGCTTGGCCCATTTGCCACCATCTCACCTTTCCTGAGCTGCTGGCTCCCCCCCCCCCCCCCCCCCCGCCCCGCCTGCTCCAGCTCAGGCACCCCCATTTCTGCTGACAGCGTTCATGTCCTTGCAGCTACCCTGACCCCTGTTCATCCTTCTCTCCCAAGGGGCACTCCTGCAGGTAAGTTATTCCTGGCCTGCCCGGGGAAGAGGCTCAGAAGCACTTTCTGAAAACCAGGGTGCAGTTCCCCGCACCAGCAGATTCAGGAGTTTAGAGAGGCAGGACAGGTTTTCAAGCCCCTGCCTGTCTAAGCCTGTATTGCTTGCCCCCCATCCCCAAATACCACACAGAAGAGCCCCTGAGCATGGTGAGGCCCAACCACTTCCCTGGCCCTATCAAAAATAAAAACAAAAGGGGCTGGAGCGATCGCATAACAGGTAGTGCGTTTGCCTTGCACGCGGCTGACACGGGTTTGATTCCCAGCATCCCATATGGTCCCCCGAGCACCGCCAGGAGGAATTCCTGAGTGCAGAGCCAGGAGGAACCCCTGAGCATCGCCGGGTGTGACCCAAAAAGCTTAAAAAATAATAATTAAAATTAAAAACAAAAAACACTCAGGCCAGAGACAGTGTGGTGCAGGACGGAAAAGCCCTTGCCTTGCACACAGCTGACCCCGTGTTCATCCCAGCATTGTATATGGTCCTCTGAGCAGAGCCATGACTAAGCCCTGAGCACTGCCAGGTAAGGACCAAAACACCCTCCCCCCTAAAAAAAAAAACAGTCTCTATCAACTCTATGCTCCCTGCCTGCTCCACCTCCCACCCCTCCATGTTCTACCTGGACACACATGGAGGCCTGTCCCTAGGGATTCAGAAAAGGCGGGTCTTCTCCAGCCCTGCAGGCCAGGGGTCCAGCCTCCCTGGACTGGAGGAGCCGGCAAAAGCGAGAGAATGGAGAAGCAGAGTTCGCGGCCACCTTCCCCAGCAAGGCCTGAGGGGAGCTGTGCCTTTCCGTCCTCCGAGGTTTTCTGGCCAGGTGTGGGGGTCAGTGCCATTACTATCAGCCTATTTTACAGAAAGGTGACTTGAGGCTTGAATGGGGATGTCCGAGCTGCGAATGGCAGAAGAGGCCTTTGAACCCAAGTAGGCGCCAGAATCCAGATGTTTTATTTTGCTTGTTTAGGTTGGTTGGTTGGATACCAAGCTACTCCTGGCTTGGTGTCCAGGGACAATCCACTGGCAGGGATCCAAACCCAGAGTCTTGCGTGCAAAGCCTGCACTCCAGCCTTTTGGAGCCTCTCTCTGGTCCTGAGTTCACATTTGTTTGGGGGCCATGCCCAGCGATGCTCAGGGCTTATTCCTGGCTCTGCACTCAGGGATCACTCCTGGTGATGCTTCGGGACTGATTATAAGGGATGCCAGGGATTGAACCTAGGTCTGTCGTATGCAAGGCTGGAGCCCTTCCCGCTGTATGATGGCTCTCGGCCGAGTCTGTTTTTAACTGTTTCTTGACCATGGCCTGTGGGACTGTGTTGAATCACTTGCATGGTGGCAGCCACTTGAAAACATGACTATTCCTGTCTATTGAGTAATTACAAAGAGAATCTCCAGGCCTCCTTCCCACATAGACCACTGAGTGGTCAATATCCTTGGACCTCAGTTTGCCCACCTTGTATATGGGTATATCTTTGGGTTGAACCAAGAGAACCAGTGCTTGAACACTGGCTTGTGGAGTATTACAGGGAGGCACCTGCTACACGGGCAGGATCTGGAACCAGGCCCAGCACACTGGAAGTGCCAGTGTACCTTTTCTTTCAAATAATCCTGGACCAGAAGCAATAGAGCCCTGCCAGCCATCCAGTGTCAAAAGACACTAGGGCTGCCCCAGGAGGCCCTCTGCTTTAGACTGCTGAGCAGTTCCTACAGGAAAGGAGGTAATCTCTTCCTGATTCTAATCATCCCTGCCCCAGGGCCTTTGCACAAGCTGTTTCTGCTACTACTAGTAAGTGTTTTCTTCCCTTTCCATGCCCACCGGGCACAATCTCTGTGCCCAAGCCACCTGCTCAGAGAGGCCCTCCCGGATGAGCCTATTTTGCAACAGCCTCCCACCCCACTTCCTTCCACTTACTCTCCACCTCAACATGCTTTTTCTTCTTCCTTCTCACCTCCTGGGATATGCTATGTCTGGGGAGTTGCTTGTTTGGGGTTTGTCTCCCTAACGCTGATGTCAGCTCCACCAAGAAAGTGTGTTTTCCTCCACCAGCTTCCCAGCGTGGACCATAGTGCCTGTCTTCAAACAGGGACTCAATGACTATTTATTGAGTGAATGGATGAAAGAAATGGGAGATTGTACTGGGCTTTTTTGCTTCTTGTTTTGGGGCCACACCTGGCTCTGTGCTCACAGAACCATATGGGGTGCTGGGAACTGGACCCAGGCCCACAGTGCACTCCCAGGCTTCTTGAACTGTGATTTGGACACAACCTGTATTTTGTGTTCCAGTTCTACCACGCCCTTGCTGTGTGACCTCGGCTGCGTGAATGGGCCTCTCTGAAGGACTGGTGCCTGAGCTGACTTGTTGGATGACGCCCAGATGCCCACGGTTCCCTCTCCCTGCCTTTCTCATGGGGCTCTTTCGCGGCACCACACCTCCTCCTAACCCTCTTTCCCGCCAACACACACACTGAGAATCACACTTAAGAGAGATAGCACAGCAGGGAGGGTGCTTGCCTTGCTCGAGGCCTACCTGGCTTCAATCCCCAGCAGCCCCTACAGTTCCCCCATGCCCACCAGGAGTAATTCCTGAGTGCAGAGTCAGGAGTAACTCATGAGCACCAACAGGTGTGACCCCCCCCATAAAAGTAAAAATAAAACACCCCACACCTCAGTCAAAAAGCACCTGTGCCCTCCTGCCCTGTGTGACCTCAGCTCAAACCACCCATCTGCTCAGTTTCTCTACTCTCCCTGCCCTTACTCCCCCCCAACTGGGAAACTTCACTCAGTTCCCTAAACTGGCCAGCTTTCTGCATTTTTAGCCTTTACCCAGGCTGGTCCTTTCTAATGTCCCCAGCTATCTGCCTCCTCCCTGTTGGGGCCTCCTCCTCCAGGGAGCCCTCCTGGAATTCCACAGATGAGATGGGGTAGCCCAGCTGGACTGGGATAGGGAGGGGCAAATGGTCCAACCCTCCAGCATCGTGCCCGCCCCCCACCCCCACTGAATTGTGATTCCTGGGTGGAGAGGACTGAGGAGTCCCCTGAACACTACCCCTGCATTGGTCAGGTTGAGAGGGGGTAGGAGTGGGGGAAAGGAATAAAAAGTCAGAGCCCAGGCACAGGGAGAAGTCTTTGTCCTCTGCTCTGCGTCCTCCTCCACTTGGGTTGTGACCTTGGGAGAGTTACCAAACCTCGTTGTGTTTAAATAGTGAAACCGGGAAGCTTAGGGTGGGAGTGATCAGTCCAGAGCAGCCTAGTAGCTTGGGGGGCGCGGATAGCAGAGACACTGCTCAACTATCTGGGAAGGGTAAATCTTCAGTCTCTCCCTCCCTCCCTCCTCCTCCCCCCACCCCCGTTTATTCCTGTTTTCTTATCTCCAGTGAGGGCCCCCTGCACTGCTCCGGGTCCCTCCCAGCACTGAGGGGGCAGGGTGGGGGGTTCAGAGCTGTCTGGACCTGCATGCACTCCAGCCCTCGGAACTACCACCTAGACCCAGACCCCTTTACCTGCGGTGCCTGACCAAGCTGGGGCTGGTGGGGGGGGGGGGGGGCGCAAGGCTGTGTTCCTAGTTCCCACCTCCAGGGTTTCTGTCCTCGATGGGGCTTTGGGATTGGTGGGGGGGAGGTTGCTGCAACCTCACCCTACAGAGTTAGCTGTAGACCCATGGAAGGTTGCCCCCCCATGGGGTGCCCTGAGCCTCTGCGAGAAGAGATGCCTGAGCGCAGAGCCAGGAGTCAGCCCTGAGCCCCGCGGGGGTGGTAGCCCCAAACTCAGAAGGGCAGCTCTCACTCCCCGGGGAGCAGCAGCGTTCCGGGGGACAGAGGGGGCTGCCCCTCCGCGCTCAGGGGAGCCCCGGAGGCACTCACCTGCCCGGCGCTCCGCCCTGCGGTCCTCAGAGCACGTCGAGCGCGGGACGCAGGCACTTGGGGCGGCGGGCTGCGAGGCGGCGGCTGCCGGCGGCGGCGGCGGCTCGGTCCCCGCACCCGCGCCGGGCCCCGCCAGCCCGGGCCCCAGGATGGCAAAGATGGTCTCCTCCTCGGCGGAGAAGGCTTCGTCGGCGGCGGGCCCGGCGCCCTGCGTGGAGTGCGGCACGCGCGCCAGCTTCTCCTTGGTGCGGCGCTTGAAGTCGTTCCAGCGCTTCTGCACCTCCTGGCCGGTGCGTTTCCAGCTGGTGATGCCGTTGATCTTGGCGGCGATGCCGTCCCACACGCGCCGCCGCTCAGCCACGCTCACCCGACGGCTCTGCGCGCCGTAGAGCTGCGGGTAGTGGGCGCGCACCTCCCGGATCAGGATCTGGTTCTCCTCGAACGAGAAGCGCGGCTTGCGCAGCCGGGTGGTCTCTTCCGCTTCGCCCGCCGCCGCCGAGGCCATGGCGCCCCCCGACGCCGCCGTCCGGCCGCCTGGCGCATGGGGGGCGCCGGTGCTGCGGGCACAGGGCGCACGGCTCTGGCGCGGGGGGACCCCGGCGTCCCACCACCGCCCGCCCCACCCGGGATGCCCGGGCCCCGGCTCCTACGTCCCCGGGGCCGGGTGGGGGCGCTGAGCCGCGGGGGGAGTCACGGAGCCTATTAATAGCGGACCCCGGCGCGCGCTCATCTGGGGCGCCGAGCGGCGCAAAGTACCATTTCGAGGAGTTGATGGAAACGCGGCGGGCGGGGGGCGGGGGGAGGGTCGGGCGAGGCGGAGGGAAACGAGGGAGATGGGAAGGGGGGGCTGTGTGCAGGAATTGGAGACTAGGGGCACAGAAGGATGCGGGAAGGAAAAAGAATGGGGGTGTCTTGGGAGTCGAAGAGGCTTGGAGGCGAGGGGGTGCCGGGATGCTGAAGGGGAGATGCAGCGAGAAGGGGGTATCTGGAGCACAGAGGAGCTCGGGGGGCTCGGGGCATCGGGACCGCTATGACAAGGGGCACTCGGAGGGGATGCCCAGGCATCAAAGAGGACTTGGAGGTTCCTACGACAGCGGAGGGGCTGCAACTCTAAAATACTGGGAGATTACGGTCTGCGGGATTGTGGGGGCTCCGGGGGGTACCAGGAATTAAAAGGAGCTGGGGGGCTCTAGGGAAGATCCTGGACTAAAAGGGGACTCCGCAGACTACGGGGGTCTTTGGGAAAAATAAGGGCCGCTGAGGGTGGGGACCGAGTCCGGCCGCGGGTCACTCACCGGCGCCGCCGCAGCCCCCGCCTGCCCGTCTGTCAGTCCCGGGCTCCTGCGGCCTCTTCCCTCCCCCCTTCTCCCCACCCCTCGGCCCCGCCCCCGGCCTTTCCGAGAGCCCAGGCGCAGGCGCAACCGGAGCCCGTCGGGCCCCCCAACGCCCTGACGGCGGGGGGTGCACGGCCGGCCCACGGCGCAAGCGCACACTCGCCCTTCACCGTCCCCGCCGGGTGGCCGGAGCTGCGCAAGCGCCCACTTAGCGCCGCGCGGGGACCCCGGAGCCGCCGCGCGCCACCACGGCGCACGCGCAAACTCGACCCCGCGCACGCGCGCGCCTCGCCCTGCGCGGGACCCGGGACCCGCGACGCTGCGCGGCATTCTGCAGTGCTTGGGGGGCCACCTGGGAGAGGATGGAGAGCGCGGTGGAATCAAGGGGTGTCCGGGCCATTCGGATGCTCATCCAGCCTCTTAGCTAGACACCTGCCTCGTTTCTCCTGGGGCCCCCAGGGAAAGGCGGCGCCGGAGGGCAGGGGCTTCGTCTCCATGACGACCGCGGGGCTGCGGAGGGAGGCGGGTACCCAGACCCACCCGGCGCCGCTCGGAGGTGCTTACCACCTATTTCCCCTCTGTGATGGGACACCCGGGGGAGATTCCGCTCCAGGTGGGAGCTGTAACCATGACAACTGTCAACCTTCCAACCTCGGCGGTCCCCACCCTCCTTACATTTCTGGCCTGGAGCGAGGAAGAGGAGGAGGAAGAAGAGGAGGAGCGCTCTGGCGGGGAGGGTGGGCGATCCTAGCTCTAACAAGACGTCCAGCAAATCCAGGGCAGCAGAAAAGAATCTCTAGCACGGGTTGGACGAGCTGGGAAGCAGGAGGATGGAGTTTAGCCGGACCAAGAAATGTGTAGCTTAGCATCCAGCCCGCGTCCTCAAGGTCATTCCCGGTGCCGCTTTGGTCTCAAATGCCTATTGACCCAAACAGTTCAGGTTGCAGGAAAGACGCAAATCTGTACCCTCGTGGAACTCATTTCGGGAGGACCAGAGTATTAGCAAAAGGAGCTAGTGTAAGAAAGGGATGACAGCCGCAAGCAGGCAAGTGAAAAGGGCTGAGGAGTGTGGTTTTCTTGGGGTGTGTGTGTAATTTTAAAATAAGATGGCGAAGAGCCCTGGGGGGAGGCACTGAATCATGCAGCGAGCGCTCTTGGACAGGTATTGCCGGAAGTGGCCCCCATTAGCCCCATGAGCCTTGCTTGAGAAGTTAAAGAATAGAAAATCAGGCAGAGTGATAGTACAGTGCCTATCGGGCATTGGGCTTGCACGTGGTTGACCCGGGTGCAATTCCTGGCACTACCAATCCTGCCAGGAGTGATGCCTGAGCATAAAGCCAGTAACACTGAGCACCCAGGGGGGTGGACCAAAGTGACAGTGGCTCAGGTTAGAGCAGGTAGTTCCCAGCGGGGAAAGACAGCTTGGAGGTTAGGTGAAGTGAATGACAAAGAAAGGAGGTGAGGGGCAAGAGCGATAGTAGAGAGGGGAGGGTGTTTGCCTTGTACATGGTCAACTCATCTTCCATTCCTGGCATCCCCTATGGCCCCTGAGCACCACCAGGAATTCCTGAGTGCAGAGCCAGGAGTAGCTCCTGAGCATCTCTGGGTATGACCCAAAAAGCAAAAGCAAAAAAAAAAAAAATTGGGAGGCCAGAGAGATGGCTCAGTGAGCAGAGTGCAGGCTTGGCATGCTGGAGGTCCCCAGGGTCAATTTCTGGCACTGCCTGGTCCCTGAGCATCACCAGCCAGGTATGTCTCTACAAAAGAGGAGTCCCAGATCTCTGGAGTCCGTGGCCTGAGTAATGGAAAGGTTGTAGCCGCAGAAGCAAAGATGCATAGGGCTGCCAAGAGACTTAGGAATCCATTTTACCTGAACCTGAGATGCCCCTGAGTCAACCAAAAAAAAAAAAAATCCAAGAAAGAGACCAGAGGGGTTGGAGACAAAGTGTAGCTAGTAGGGCTATTATCTTGCATGCGTCCACCACAGGTTCAGTCCCTGGCAACACATAGGGTGGTCCTGAGCCCTACCATGAGTGGTCCCTGAGCATAGAGCCAGAATTAACCTTGTGCACCACAGGGGATGACAGCAAAACCAAAAACAATAAAAATATATTTAAAATAAAAATAATGGAGTTTATGCCCAACTCAATCAGTTAATCAATGGCTGAATAAATAGCAGTGCTCCTACATTTAAAAAAATAAAATAAATTTTAAAAATTTAAAAAAAATTAGAAATGGCAAACAATGATCGGAAAATCAGAAAAAGCCAATTTTTGATTGCTATATGATTTTGACCTATGTAAATAAGGAAATTAAAACCATTTAATACAATATAGAAAATGCCTATTCTCATTTACATAAGTTTTCAGAATTTAAAATATATTGCAATGAATTTATTTTATACTTAAATCTCATTATGGTAATAATCATGTCTTGTCATTAATAAAACAAAAATAAATAAATTGATTATGGGACCAGTGTGATGGTACAGCAGATAAGGGGCTTGCCTTGCACAAGGCTGACCCAGGTTTGATTCCTGGCATCCCATACGGTTCTCGGTGCACGGGCAGGAGTGATTCCTGAGTACGGATCCAGGAGCAATCCCTGAGCACTGCCAAGTGCAGCACCAAAATAAGTCAGAGAGAAAGCTCAGGGCTTAAGGCACTGGGTTGACACACTGCTGACCCCTGTTCGATCCCTGGCACTGCGTAGGGTCTTCAGGAGTGATCCCTGAGGAGAGTCAGGAGTAAGCCCTGAATTCTTCTGGGTGTGTTCCCCAAACCCACACCAAACAAACAGCTTGGGAAGTTGTCTGGACTTGAGAAGAGTTTGGTGCTGATCTGACTCGGTTGCCTGTGAGTCTATGGGACTATGATAAGAGTCCTCGAGACTATGTTCTGAGAGCGGCCAGCCAGGGAGCAGGAAATGTGGCTAGACAAGACTGGGAAGCTGAAGACTCAGATCCAACAGAGAAAGGGTCTGCAGCCCAAAAACACTGCCTGGAGGTGAAGGCCAGGGAGACTGAGGACATAGCCCCTGGACCAGTGGGGGGGGGGAGTGTGGGCAGGGGGTAGTGAGTGGGTGGGGAAGGAATGAACAGTGGCCCAATGGGACTGTTCTAGAACAGGCTTTGAGAGCACCAGTGTCATTCTCCTTAGCAGAAAAAAATGCCTTGTCTGGAAGACAGCGCTGTGGAGGGAGATGGGAGAGGTGCTGTGTGTTGTGTGCCCCTGGAGTGTCCCCAGAGTGGGGCTGGGTGGGTTCTGCTGAGGGAACAGGATAGAATTGCTGGGATTGTGGTCTTCAGTAGGCAAGAAAAGCCAGACACGGGACATAAGTGACTGGTCATCTGTGGAGCAGTTTGGGTTCTCTGGCACCAGGGACCAGGGATGACTCTTGGCCCCGCACTCAAGAACCATTCCTGGCAGGGCGCAGAGTGCCAGGGATCAAACAGGGTTGGTTGCGTGTAAGGCAAACATCCTGTATTATTGCTTCAGCCACAAGCCCTTTTGAATGGGTTCCCTTCACCCACCTGATCCCACGTCATGTGTGAACCGATTGATGGCAGTGCACCCTGGAAAGTCAGTGGCACAAAGGCAGGGATCGGCTTTGTTCGCTGCCACTGTACCCCCCACCCCCACCCCACCACACATTCAGTCTGAGTGGTACCTTGAATGAGGATGATACTCAGGAAATATTGGAAAAACGAGGAACAACACGGCAAGCCTGGGTATTTCTCGTGGGGTGTGTGTGGGAGGGCTTTTTGTCACTCTCCATTGACCTCCGGGTTCTCTCAAAAGGCTCCCCAAAGAATAAGTTCAGACCATCTGGATTCCCGCCTAAGGGGCAAGGTTGGATAAAGGACTCTGCTTGTGTCCAAGTGAAAGGACAGTGGTGAGGGCACTTGATTTGCACGCAGATGACCGGGGTATGATACCCGACACCCCATACAATCCCCTGATCCCCATTAGAGGTGATCCCTGAATGCTGCTGGGTATGGCCCCACAAAACAAAAGAGAGGCCCTGAGCGATAGTAAGGTGCCTGCCTTGCACGTGGCAGACAAAGGTTTGATCCCTGGCATCCCATATGGTTCCCTGAGCACCACCAGGAGTGATTTCTGAGCGTAGAACGAGGAGTAACCCCTGAGCATCGCCAGGTGTAGCCCAAAAACCAAAAAAAAGGGGTGGTCTGAGGTCAACGTTGGGGGCTGGGGAGAGACTTGGGAACCAGTGTGGGAGGATGTTTAGGGGAGCACTGCCATTGGGAACATCAGGATCCTTTCCTACTCTGCACCCTGCTTCCCTCTGCGATGGGGCCAATGTGGGCACCTCCACCCTCCTGATGGGGCCCATGAGAAAATAAAAAAACCTAGTGATTTCAAAGGTAATGGGAAATGCTTTTTATTTTTATGTTCAGTATTGGTGGGATGCCCCTAAGCCTGGAGCCCCAACTAAATAACTGAAAATCTGGCTGGGGCTCTTAATTGTTGCTAAAATAAAATCTGGGGGGTTGCCATTCCCATCCTGGCAACTGTTTTAGGAGTTTCACGGGCTTAAGTGCTGGAGGAGGTAAACTACAAGTGTTAGAACAAACAATGATGATTTGGGAAGGTCTGAGAGACACTTGCCCGTGGCCCCTCTCTGGGAGGAAGGAGTCCTTTGGGGCGGGCAGGGGTGTGGAGAAACAGAACCAATAGGGACCCACAGTCTGGAAGTTGGAGGTGGTCAGCTCACCCCAAGGCTCTTCGGCCCCCTGAGAAGTCTGTAGAGGCCACGTCTTTGCTGCAAATCCCCCTCTCCTCCGATGACCAGGAAGGGGTCCTCAGGGTGCTGGCCAGTCCGCTGTGGCAGGTCTGCGGGTGACATCACTGAGTGAAGAACAGCTGCCTCGAGGTCCTGAATTTCGGGGGAGGGGGGCGGAGAGTCGGATCCAGCCTTGCTCTCTGCCGCCCGAATTTGCAGTTCCACCCTGGGAGTGTATGATCTGGCTGGAACACAGTCGCCCCTTGGCTGGGGAGGCCAAGGGCAGAGCGACTGTCCCCGCACGTCCCAGAAGCATGAAAACACCAAAACAGGAGTCTGAGTCCTGCGCAGTGCACGAGGGAGCCCCTGAGGGATC